AAAAGGACTGAGCATTTACTGGTCAGTAAATGGATGTAAACATTTGTAGAGGCAGCTAGGGAGTGAATGGTGTTTTTTAAGAAGCATCCAGTATCCCTCACAGCTTGTAACACCTGCTGAAGTTAGAGGGTCATGCGTAAGAAGAAAGCTTACAAAAAAAGGTTTCTTTTTTGTAAGAAGTCGTGGAAAATTCAGTTCAATTCCATCCCCGTTATTACTGCAATATCGCAATAGAACCCTTTATTTATTTTTGCAAAATAGAAGCCAGTGATGTTAACGCTGAACTAGAATTCAATCTAACATAGTAAAATTCATCGTAAATCTAGACTATGTACACATAGCAGATGACTTTGAAATTGCTATAAATGAGACTTTATAGCCTTCACAAGGCTCATGGCAGAATCTATACAGCCATCAAAGTTGGAATGAGTAAATCCATCGCCCCCACAAATTAGGAGAGGTTGAGTGTGAAGAATCATTTGTCCCGGACAATTTGGTACAGCCTTTGTAACCTGAAAAAGAAATGCATACAAGAAGAAGGAAAAGTAAGTATTTACCTGAATTCCATGCCAGAGCTGTATCACTGACAAACGTGCCTTCATATGAAGCACCTCCCCAAACCCCATCTTAGGTTCTAGCCTTAACGATCAAAGTACCACAGTCAAATATTTATCCTCCAGGTTTAAATAATTAGAATAATGTTTTCCTGCATGTGTAAAGTTATAAACTTTATAGCCCCACCCAGGTCTTATTCCCAGTCAGTTTCTGTAGAAATGAAGATAGTCCATGGAGAGGTGAGGCTTACAGAGCTCTAGGCAACAGGTCTGAAGACATATGATCTCCGATTGGCAAAAGTGGGCTTGCATAAACCCCTAGATATGTAACTGTTCAAGGAGATGCAGCATTACATATTCAAGAGTGCAATGAAAAAAAATTACAATCAACACTTCAAGCTTCCAAAGATATCTGCAATAGCAGAAACACCTACATTATGTCAGTGACATCAGGCAATATCACAGAAATTTCAAAAGCCCAGCAGACAGGTGCTGACTTTCCACTACATAAAGGCTACAGTGAATAGCCTCTTAAGTGCCATGTAATAAGCACACAAACGCTTTTTCCCTCACTCTGCCAGGTCTGAGGTCCCCCTTTGGCAGGTGCAGTTCATGTTTGGCAATGCAACCCAAGGAACATTGAATGAAAATGATTTCTTTGGTTTCACAATCCCCCCACCATTAAATGTGCCCAAAAAAATCCGGTGATAAACTCTGTGAAACAGGACATAAAAATATATTAAATGCTAAGAAAGCTTTTGCAGCAAAGAAATAATTGCACCTCTTTCAATCTTTGATGGTTACCTCAGACTTACTAAGCCATTCATTCCACTCTTGGCCAAGATCTCGACCCACAAACCTCCTGACCTGAACTGCTGTTAGCACACACAGAACCAATACATTAAGTAAAGAGAAATTCTGAGGCATTCAGCTACCCTATTTCCGTAGGTGTTGGCTTTATCTGCTTTCTCTAAAGTTGAACTAACTGAGGCCTTGTTGACCTTCATCATCTGAGACTACAGCTGTGGGAAAGCATGTAAATGTTTATAAAACACTTCAATGGATGATGACAGAAAAACTGTAGAAGACAGACAAAGATATTTAATCCAAACAAACCAAATCCTCTGTCTACAAATTCATAAAAGTGGGCAGAGGAACCATGCACCAACTCTACTGTGCTAGAAATCAGTCCAAGGGATGGATCATGAGCAGTTGGGCGTGTTCCTGTGGTCCTACAAGAGCCACCACTGATGAACACAACAACAGAGACAAGCCACTGGATTTTCATTTTACTCCAGGTACCTTTCTTCATTTATGATCACTATAATGCCATGACTACTGTACACATAAGGGACAGCAGGTCAGCACTACTGAACCCTAGAGGACCCAAAGGAGACTTACATGTCTTGGCTCTGTATCCCTTTTCCTTCTCTATTCACCCTCTGTTGGCTTTTCTGAGAGCTAGTGGATGGGATGGAAGAAGGAAGGAAAGACTGCCATTGCTGAGAGAGCCTGCAACATGACCAGGCTGATCAGGTGATCATCTTGAATGGGGAAGTGAGGCAGACTTCAGAGTCATCATCATCATGATGACTTGCCCATGCTCCGCACTGCTGTACAATCTACACCCTTGATACAATCCATCCTGTCTCCACCTCTACCACTCTGGCTTCCTTTTCTATTTGACTAGCAGAGCGGTCTTTTAGACACTGCTAGAGATACAATCAACACTTTCTATCTGTATATAGCATGGGGACAAGGTCTGATTAAGGCTGCTTTGATAAATATTTGATTTGAATCTCAAAATATGCATTGCATTCATTTTAAATAGTATTTTCTTGATACTATACCCTCAGTTAAACTTGTTTCTGCAGAGTAGCAGCTCTAGAGAATTTCTATGCAACACTTTTAAAAATTGTCTTTAGCCAGTAGCTCTTAATCTGAAGGTACCTGGAACTCCTGGGGAGTGCAAGACTTGTTTTCAGTACCGTGCTTTATGACAAATGTTACTGTGTGTCAAACAACACAGTAAAAGCATACAGCATTTGTGTTTTTGCCATGCTTCACTGTGTCACACCTTATTCTAACCAATGTAAAAAGATTGAAAGTCCATTTTGCACGAAATTGGTACATCTCTAAGCAGCACTGGTATATCTCAAAACAGAGATAAGGTAGCAGCAGCAGTATTGGTCTAAAGGTAAAAGCAAGGGCAAAGCACGGACAGGCAGAAAGGATAAAGAAGATAAGAAGATGCAGGAAAGCTTGATGATGGAAGTGCTCAGAGAAGGAAGGTGGGAAGAAATATTGTGAGAAAAGGAGTGACAAAACAAGACCCATAAGGTTGAAATGTTGAAAAGAAGAAAAAATATCTAGAAAGACAGAGAGAGAGAAAAAAAAAAGGTACAGAAGCACAGCAACAGATATCATACCATAGAGATCATAAAGCATGATGTCGAGACTGCAATTTGCTTCTTCATCATTCCTTGATTTTCTGCATTATTTTTGGTCCAAAGATATACTTTGGATTCCTATGCAGTAAGCCATTACTGTGTCCCATTGTGCAACTCTCAGTGCCACTGAACTGGAGTCCAAGGGGCCTTGTTGAGTCCAGGGGATTTTTTCCATTGACTCAAATATAGTTTGCCAGTGGCACCAAAAAGGCCCATAGTCAGGAAGTTGAAACAGAAATGACTGCACTATCAAAAATGATTCTCAGTAGAGAAGCAGTAAGTAAGCCTGCACACATATAAATAAATGCAGAAAGGGAAAGAAAGAGATAAGGTGCATACGTGCAAATAGTAAACAGCAGACGTTGTAAGTCTAACCAAGTCTAAGCAAGTCTAACCAAAAAGTCACAGATAGCTGCACACATGGGGGACAAGGGGTCAGCAGTGCTAACCAGCTTTCCCATGACAGTAACGAACACAGACAAATAAGACATGCAACACTGCAGGAACTGAGAGTATCAGTTGGCTGAACTCTCTAGCAGCAAAAATTCATGAGATATTCATCTGGCTACAGCCATGCCATTATTTGGCATTTCCAAGTACAGATCAGCTGCAAAACATCTACATTTATGTTACTGGCCGTATTTTATGTTATCAGCATGTTAGCATCTTCTCTAAAGGAAGAAATTATCTGAAATGAATTTGTAAAAAGTAGTGATCCATTCTCTGCCGTTTACTTAATGGAACAGTCTAGCAATTTACTGTAAAACCTGCCAGAGATCGTGTTTCTCTGACTAATTTTAGGTCAGTAGCTAATTCAGGTCAGAGGCTAATGGAGGCCACTAGGCATAAAAAAATGAAGAAAGGTTTAGCAATAAGGCAAGAATGTCCTTCATTCTTGACTACCTTAGGCTTATTCTATGTTCTCTGTACAAGAGTCTCTGATTTGTCATACTGATCACAAGAGTCATATTTTCTCATCGGAGCCTGCATCGTTCTACCCGTGTAGCAATATTGTGTGCACAATACAGCAGAGGTCTTCATTCCACATACAGTGACTGGCAAAAGGAATTATCCCCTTCCTTCTTCCTGTTCTTTTAAAGCTGTGGTCCAAAATACAGTCCAAATTACCTTTAGTTATATGGCACAGCCTGTTGGATCTCCATTCTTGGGAGATTTCAGGACTCAGCTAGACAAAGCCATGGTTGAGCTCATCTAGCGTGGGCAATAGTTCTACTTTGAGCAAGTGGTTGGACTAGAGACCTGAAGAGGCCCCATTCCACCAATGTTTCTATTCTGTGTTTTCCCAATCTCCCTTCCCCACATATAAAGTGACTGTCAAAGGGACATGACAGCTTGGGAAGCTGCTGACTCTGAATGCTAGGAGTGTCTTATTGTAATTAAAGCAGAGGACACAGAATTGCAGCTGTGCTGCGAAGTAGTGTCAGTAGAAGTTTCAAAGTCCTAATCCCTCATCCGCCATGGATAATTGTAATGTCTTCATTTTAATCCCAGGATTGTGTTTGGCCATATAAAGGACGTTGCAGCCAGATTTAATTAACAAGCAAGATAAATCTTGTCTAAAGGAGTCAGGGGAAAGATGTATCCATCTTATCAGTTCCCTTTGCTTCTGTGGCAACAGCTTATTGTAACCGAAAGTAAAGATGGCTTTAGGAAAAGAGTGAGCTCCGTCCCAGATATTCGATTTAGCTAGTGATTATTTTATAGGATGCCTACCTGGCAAAAGAGATCTCTTTATTGAGATAACTGATCTGCCCTGCACCAATTTACTTGCAGCCTAAGACATAATCCACATTCATCCACTGAATTAAAGACTGGTGATAATTCTTCCTGTAACAAGGCCATAAAACACAAGCAGCTGCTGAAATCAGTTATTTTACTTAGCAGCAGCTTGGTAGATAGCAGGCAACGCAGAGAAGGATTGTACACTGAATGACAGGAGAAGGAAGTGGGAAGAGCTGTAAATTGTACAGTGGTTTGGTGTTTGAGAAAATAACAGAGCATCCTCCAGTAGTATTATGCTTGAATGTAATTCTTCAATAGGGGAAATAGGACATATCTCTAATGATTTAGAGAGATTACAAATTTGAAACAATTATGGAAAGTAAAATTCATTCCTATAGTCACTGTTCCAACTACGTTTAAAAGATGTAGCAATAGGTGTAAGTCTACAATAAATCTTCTCTGGCCATCAAAAAAACCGATTTTGCTAGGATTCAAAAACCATAACTGTTTGGTAGACTGCAATTGAGTTTTTTTATTCAACAGGAAAAAAAAAAACCTTCCTTTCTTGTCTTTTCCTTTATCCATGTGAAATAAATCAGAATACGCCACATATGATACATATGCTTACATGTCACTTTCATCACTATGCTAAAATTATGAATAGTGCAAGGAAAGGGCATATCAATGCTGGTAGCAATAAACAAAGTAGCCGAATTTGACAAATTTTATGATAGAGCTCTGTGGTAGCAGCAGCATCAAGAGTGCATGGATTTTGTTAAAAAATATTTATCACTTTGTTTTGGAGCTGGTTAACCAAGTATCTGCCTGTTGGGGATTGATTAAATTCTTCTGCTCCGTACAACCTGCACCTCTCATGCTCACATGCGGTTTGAAGCAGAAAGGTAACAGAGAGTGCAGAAAAGAAGTCATAATCAGAAAAGAAACAGTGACAATTCTACATGGAAATATTGTTACTAACAAAAAACCCTGAACTGATAGAGAGGAATATGTAAAACATACCACCATTTTAATCTGTGAGGCATCTAAAACATATGTTAAGATCATTTTTATATGACAACCAATTACAAATATTATGCACTGGGAAGTGATTTGTAAGCTATCAATACCTAATTCATGGTAAAATAAACTTTGTGCTAACAAGACCAGGTTCTTAAATTGGATGCAGATCAAGGAGCACGAGCAAACTTTACAACCAGTCACCTACAATAACTTTTCCAGACTTCACAAAAGGAAAAAAATTTTAAGGGGACTGCTTTAAGTAAATATTTTGCATTAGCTTCCACATTCAATTTCACCAATGTAATTCAGCTTAAGAGGCTTCGGGTAAACATGTACTCCAGTACTTTAGGAAATTGTCAACAGTTTCCTTAGATTTTTAAGAGAAGCCTGTAAAATATACACATTTTGCTATTATTACCCTTAGGTAGTTTACTTTAAAATATTTTTCACGTAACATACTGTTAAATTGAACTTGGCCAAATCAAATAATAACAATTAGTATGTCTGAAAACAAGCACTCTGCTACTCTGTGGTAGGGTGGGAATTTTGCTAATAATATCACATACTTTAGGATGCAGAAGAGACAGATTGAGTCATATTTTTAAATACCAACAAAAATTCCACTGAAGTATGTGGGATTTAATTCCTTCCTGTACACTGCTGCTGTTCCTACTTACAAGGGACACTGTATAACTTACTGCTGAGCCAGGTCCACTATGTTAAAAGATTACTAGAAATGACCTTGCTGTAGTTGGCCAGCTTTGGATGTTGTTCATGGCTACATGAAGGATGTGTTATAGATATTGAACAACTATCCCCTTTCTTCTTTTTCTCTGAAGACCACTGGGTTGTACGATGTCCTGTTTCCTGTGAGGCACTCTAAGTCTGTACTATGGCATCATCCAGGCAGCATCTCTCAGCTGACTGATCCCACTATGATTACCTGAGAGTATCTCCATTTCTGACACTTGATGCTGGCTGGTTTAGGCAGAGATGGCAAAATGCTTTCCAGGTGATTGAGAATTAACTGCTGCACTTCTGCAAGGTCTGAGTCCAGGTGATTGCATCCAAACGTCACGTTTGTGTGAATTACAACTGATGGTCCAATTTCAGGAGACTCTGAAATAAAGAAGAGAAATGCCATTGAAAGATTGCTCATTAATATTTGCCTTCCCTGGATGCTGACATTTGTGCCTCTTTAGCCTAGAAGTCAATAAGAAGAAAAGTGTAGGTATCTGCAGCACCACCCTTGTCTTTCAGCTGGAAACAACACAAAGAATAATAACACAAGCTGTTTAGGAGAAGCTCAAAGAAGAAATTCAGGCTTTTTACAAAATTTGTGATGGATTTCCCATTGCAATAACTTTAGATCCATATATATCTCCTAGAGGACCCTCAAGGCATTCTCATATCCCATAACAAGCAGCTGGCAAAAGCAGCAAAGGCTGTGAATATAGCGATTGACTGCCTGTGCAGGCAGACTGGCCAGCAGGCAATAGAGAGCATGTGCCTGTTGAGCTCACCCCCTACGCTTCCTGTCAGACCCAGTTTCCACAAAATTAGTAGCAACTACGTCTCTATCGAAGCAAACTTTTCCTTTCCCCGACAGGGCTGAAATCGGCAAGAGGGCATTAGAGCGTCAACAAAGAGACAGAGGGACAGGAGGACAGACAGATGCCCAGACAGAGAGTATGACTGCAAGCCCTTAGGAATGCAATGACTGGCTTTCAGATGTGGCAAGTTCTTGCCACAAAAGGGATCTGCTTGTTCACAATGCTGGTAAGAGCTGAGCAGAGAAAAGCCATTCTGTTTTGTGGGAGATTTTGTTACTTCATACCTAGGTGTTGCTCCGTGTTGGAAAATTCTCCCTTTGCCCTCCAGATATTTGGACAGTCTACAAGAAGGAAGGCAGGTCTGGGTTCAGAAGCCTACCCCAGAAACCCCAGGATCACTGCCCCTGACGCAGCTCAACCAGGCGGCTGCCAGGGATTTGGGAGAACGAGTTGGCAGGGAAGCTGGCCGATCCCTAGCAGAAACCTGCTTGGCAAACAAAGTGCTACTGGAATCCTGCCCGCATTCCACCCAAATGTCACTGTAACTCCACCATCTCTGCACAACATTGTGATTTTGGCAAACTGGCAAAACAGAACAACAGAAAGAGAAACAAATAAAACTGTTTTGTAGGGTTTTTTTTTTTCCAGCTAGGTCTACCTATAAAAATAATTAGTGCCCCTATAATCACAGGGAAGTCAGAGCGGCACAGACACAGTTGCCAAACCACAAGATCTTGCCTGGATTGTACTTGTTGAGGTGAGGCTTTACAAAGGGCTATGAATGCAATTCAGGAGACTTGTCATCACTGGGAACAGTAAATGGGAACCTTTTCGCAAGTTGGGCTGAAACTCACCCAGCCATGAATTAAGTCTAGAGTATTGGATGAGGAACACTTTTTTAAGATGGAAGATCATTATTGGAAATGAAATTTCAAAAACACAAGCAGGGATTTTCTTTATTTCCTAATTTTTAAACCTGGTTTAAAATTTCTGCAAAAGCAGCACTGTTCTGTTCCGAAAACACAACGGTGTGGCACAGCGTCTTAGCACACAGATGAGAAAATGTGTGGTGTTAGCAGATCCTCCAAATACTGTTGCTTCAGTGCCCCTTTTTGCTCCACTTCCCATCAGCCAGCAGCAGTCACACAACTCATTTTTCACTGGGAGACTTCAAATTTGCCTATGATTAAGCTCTGCTATGGAGCCAATGTATAAACAATTCAAAACCCGTTGGTACAGTCCTGTTTCTTGTGTGTGACCCCGCTAATGTTCACAGGGGCAGATCCTGGCAAAATGCAAAGAGCAGATTTACCGTTGCTTGTGGGGATTGATCATGAAGGGCTAGGAGCTCTTGTGACACTCACAGACATTTGAAGTCCTTCTGAACACAGCAGCAAATGCCAAACATAAAATAAACAAATAGCATTCACAGACACCACATGTCTGACACACACAAGTCACCACACCAATGATCGCAAAACTCTGAAAGTGTAAGTAAACCACTGCCTCGTTCTGAACTGCAGAAGGAGTGCAGATACCACGGCTGTGCAAACGCAGCTGTTTGCTGCAGGGGTTTGAGAAGCTTTGCAGCTGATTTGCTTACCTACCTATATAAGAATACAATTTATATTCACCCTGTGCTCCCCTGTGCATTTAAAACACATGTTGCAAGCCTTACAGCTGTGATTTCCTCGCCACCTCTTTCACTTTCTTACAACGTGTCTCTCTCATTCTCATGTACAGCGCTCCCTTGTTATTCTCTGTTGTTATATGTTCTCCTCTTGTTCCATCTCTTCTTTCTGCCCTTCCTCCCCAGGCTCTGGTCTGCAGCAGGTCACAGGAGTGGGGATCAGGGAACAATTGCTGTTAGCAAGTGAGGACAGTGATGCTGAAAGGTCATTAAGAAACAGAAAGGGAAATGACTGGTTGTGGCTAGATGCTCTGGCTGCACAGAGAAATGGTGCTGTGGGACTGATTAGCACCCAGAGATCAAGACGTGACAGTGGGTGCAAACAGCACCACCATGAGCTGCATGTGCTGCAGTGCCCAGAGGGAAGCATGGAGCTCTTCTGCCACTCAGCACAATCAAGATCTCACAAAAAGTTTCCCATACACATTCATCACAGATGCTTGCAGATTTAGACACACAGAGGAAGCAATCTCATGAACAACACTGAAGCAAACGAAATACAGAGTTGTCATATTATCTCAGGCACCCCTAACAGAACAATTTCTGCAACACAGAGATATGAGACACCTGAATATGAAATGATCACAAGATAAAAAATATCTTCACAATAAAGGACAAAAAAAAAAGTGTTTGTTATATTACTGTGAAAATCATCTGCTCACTCCATAATTTTGATTGGTCACATATTTGCCATCAAACAGCATCTACATCCTTGAAATGCAAGAATAAAACCAGTACTTCACTTTTATAGAGAGGAGAAGGGAAGGAGAAGCAAAGCTAGGTTAGTTAGATAATTCAGTACTTCTTGCCTGGCACAAGTGGATTTAACTTTAATTTTGCAGCTCTAGCAACTTCCAGAAAATGAATGCATGTTTGTCTACATACAAGTTTTGGGGAACATCAACCTTTTATAAACATCTATCATATGTGCAAGTGAACACAAGTTAAAAAAGAATTTACCCCATAAAAATAAACTAAGTTGCAGTACCAGAAGAGGAACTGAAGGCATTTCAGATACTGTAATCCCAGCTGACTTGGAAACAGTACAGTTTCATGCTGGTTGTCACCTTTCAACTTTAGTCTTTCATACTACAGTCCCTTTATCTTCCCTTTCTGCGTATCTCCTTTACAAGTCCCAGTGGCATACAGACAACCTCCAGCACTGTGGGCAGAGGAGGAAAGTGATAGTAGTCATGGCTACAGCTGGATGGAGCACCGTGGCTTCCTGTAGTCCAAAAAACTCTTTGACATTTTAAAAATCTGCCTAGATGGAGCCAGACTCTTCTCAGAGTGAAGGAAAAGTGCAAATGGGTACAAGATGCAACACAGAAAATCCCTACCCCATGTGAATGGTGCATCCCTGCGACAGGGCTCCAAGTGATAGGGCATCTCCATCCTTGGGATTGCCCAGACTTGCTGGGACACAGCCCTGAGCAACCTACTGTAGCTGTAATGTTGGCTCTGCTGTGAGCTGGGTTCGGACTGGAGACCCCTGGGGTGCATCCAGCCTGAATCATTCTACAATTTCATGGTTCTATTCTGTATTGGAACAAAATTAAGATCCTTTAAATCTTTCTAGCAATAAAATAAAATAAATTAAATTAAATTAAATTAAATTAAAATAAAAACAACACTAGGGCATGAGGACCAGGACAGCCAACAACCAGTGGTTCACAAAATTTGCCTAGAATACAGGATTTTCAGGTTCAGTAATTTCCCTGTGCCAAGCCACTATGAGGATCCAGCACATGCTTGTGTGGGCATTTCCTGTTTGGGCTGTTCAACTTTGAATGAGCAGGACGCATTTGCTGGAGCAAGGACATGACCTGGGTTCTGCTGCATCTCATCTGCATGTCTGAACTCACCAAGTAGTAGTTAAACTAAGTGATTTCCTCTTGTTCCATTAAAAAGAAATTCCCTCCTTTGGCACTGGAAAACCTTTTCTGACAAAATCTCTGTTTGAACTAGCACACACATTCCTAGCAAAAAATTTTAGTTCCAACAAATGAACATTTTCTGATCAAAAAATCCATAGAGAAAGAGCTAGCGGAACCCTTTCTGACAAGTTCTGGCCATTATGTAACAAGCTTGATAGAAATCTTTCCCTCTATTGCATTGGTGAAGAAGTATAGGACTCCTCCAGCTGGAGGAGTCTTCAACTCCTTTAAGAAGATAAGTTCCAGCTTCTAAAAGGCAATCAAAATTTCTTTCTCTGATAAGTTTTCTGTCCTGGACTGATCACTTCAGAATGAACTACTGAGGCTCAACAGGAACAAATCTTTGCACTCACAACAAGGATGAAACTGATGGCTTTAATTTAGATTCTCTCACTCCAGTCTCTTTCCTTGATAGGCCAGTTCAGACAACTCTTACTCTCAGGAACTGGGAAAATGTGGTAAAAAGGGAGGGGAGATGCTTCCTGATTGTGATTGGGAATGCACCCTGACAGGCAATGGCTACAGAAACCAAGTCATGGTGCTGCCCTTTTTTGAAAGATCTTGTCTTCCCTCTGAGGCATTTCTAAGAGCATAAGATGACTTACTTAACTCCCTCAGTGGGGCTTGC